TAGAGGAGTGTTGTTAGCAGCAATAGGTAGTAAGCTAACCACTGACGGACACAGACAGATAGACAGTACTAAATATGGCCTCTATCGTTTTCAGGGGCTCCCCTAAGACGTTTCACAAGGTTTCCAAATAGGCCTATATGTATTAGTATGCATTTTCAGGTTACTTCTCAATTTTCAGACAACAATCGGCACCGGCACCGGCCGATGGTTATGAGATGAAAATCGGCCATCGGCTCACCGGCCAAAGGTGACCATCGGTTCAGCCCTAAAATACGAGGTGTGGCAATAAAGTTCCAGGACTGATTTTTTTGTGAGTCTGTCAATATCGCAAAAATTATTTTCATTCCATGAACTAATAGATGAAACTGTTGGGCAATGTAGTGTCAGTCATCATCTGACTAGCATCTTGAATGAGAGTTTAAGATGAGGACTGACACTGCACTGCCCAACAGTTTAATCTATTAGTCCATGGAATGAAAATAATTTTTGATATATTGACAGACTCACAAAAAAATCAGTCCTGGAACTTTATTGCCACACCTCGTATACCAAAGCAACTTGATTCTGAGCCCATGTATGAGGAAGGGAAAGCCTCCTTTACGGATGGAATGAGTAGGGGTGAGCATTCCCCCTCAGGGAATTCATGTCTAGACAAGGGAAGAAGGAGAAACAAGCTAGACAGTGAATAAAAAGTCCCTTTGCCTTCCTCAGCATGGAAAAGAATGACTTTGTTCAGAAATGACTTTACCCCCCCCAATGACCTGTTTATATAATCGTAGGAATGCTTTGGAATGCTCTGAAGCATTAATCGACAGTATAGATTTTCTCAATTGCGTCATCCTCGATTTGCTCAATAATTTTTCTGCGATATTGTACTAAAGGTACACCTTGAGCAGTGGCACTGTTCCTATCTGTAATGGGAGCTAACAGAAAACCCAGCTATCTCTTGACCTCTGCTTCGAATGGAGAGAAAGCGAATTCAGTGGGGTTCAAATATGGACTGTATGGTGGAAGGAATTAGATAATATGGGATGGGTATCAGCGAATTTATCTTCGGTGACCCATACAATTGTCCATGATGAGGACAGCTTCGTTATCTGGTCCTATCGTGGCGCTCATTTAATCGAGAACGTGTCCAAGGATTTCCCTAGTGAGACCTTTATGCAGCTTCTTCGAATTGATTCGACCATGTGTGGTAGAAATCGTGGGAATTAGAGTCATGTTCTGACCTGGCTGTGTATGAACTCGGTAGACGCATCTTTCACCGATCAGAGACCATCCACTCTTTCCTCGAAAGTCACAGGTTCACTCCAGTTTCATCAATGGAAAATAACACCTGGCGGGAACTCAAAATTCGTGTTAAATTCACCTCCACTTTCTGCTGCCGGAGTCATTTAACAGACACGCTCAACTTCATCTTCATTGCTTTCCGTATTGTCTCATCAGACGAGGCTGGCTTTCGAGGCAGCATGGTCCCAAGACGGAAATTAATTTCCTTGACACCAGATACAGGCTCTTCCAATAGCAGGGTCACCAAGGCATCGAACATCTTCTCCACTGCAAGTCGTCCTCCATTGCTCCGTTGGCATCAGAGTACGGTAAAATGGAAAATCAAGAGCATAATCCATACGCGTCTCCCAGCAGTGAAAAAAAGGAAAAAGTCAAATAGCGAACAATCTTTAGCATCCTAACAGAAGTTAAAATACCTACTCACATATGAGAAATTCACCTACTTCTTAGGTCTTCATGCTGGGCATCGTATTGAAACTGACGACAAAACCACTTTGCCGTAGATGGACGGAGATCCAACAATTGATCAACCTTGTGTGCATACAAGCCAAAATTTCATTGTGTCCTGGCGTTGATGAGAAGGTTCCGCTTCGTGTCTCTTTCCATTCCATGAGCCATCTTGGAGGCAGCGTACGTATCTTCCTTGGATAATGCCCTTTTATTTATGCCAAGCAGAAAACTTCCTGTAAATTTTGTTGCTGACAGGTCATTGAAGCCTGAATAAAGTCGTTCTTTCAGCGGTGGAAGGAAGGGAGACATTAGGTTCCCTGTCTGAACAAGAGTCCCTTTGAGGGGAATGCTCACCCCCGCTCATTCTATCCGTAAAGGAGGCTTTCCCTTCCTCATACGTAGGCTCAGAATCAAGTTGGTTTGGTATAAAATAAAAATAGCATCACAGGCATCGTGATCCATCGTACCTCAATCGGTAAATGGTATCTCGTTATATTCGATGCACTTTGGTCATCGTTTTAGCATAAATTTTATTCCGTCCACCACACCATCCTTCGATTCTTCTCTGCTCGAACCATCGGCTGTAGTTCCTTTGAGAAATGGGCAACCATGATGATTCCCCTTAGATCGATGAAAACAAGGTGCACGAGTTTCGCGATTCCTTGCTTTTTCTCGAACACCAGTGGTAGACGAGCCTGCCATTCTGCACTCCACAAAGTTCACCTTGGGTGGAACGAAGGAGTCAGCGCCTCATCGACTGCAATATTCCGTGCAGGGAAACATTGGAATCCTTGCGAAAACGCTGCAGTGATTTGGGCGTGACGCGGCGAATCGATGAAGCGATGAGGCACCCAACTTGCTCCAACTTTCCTTTTGACAAGCTTCTCCGTTAGGATACATTGCCACGACATTTTCGCGAGGCTTACCAATGCATTACTGGTGGTAGGATCATATGACTCCAGGCATTAGCGCGAAAGGATGATGTAATCACGAGCCAGGGTTGCGAGATTTTAATTCTCATCATTTTGCATTTACAAAAGAAAGGTTTTCAGAATCGTCATCGTATTCCCGATTTATTTTTCTAAGCGTAAAATGCGAACAGACGATTTTTCAGAACAAAAACAAGAGGTTGATAGAATGTAAGCGGTGACGTCCGTATTGTCGGATGCTTTGACGCTCGCGGAATGGCCTCAGGTGCATTGCAGTCCATCACAGCAAGAGACGATGGCGTATCAATTGTTGCAATTCCTGGGACACATGTTGTACACGTCATCACCCAGATCGGAGGAATCCCTCCACGCTCTCCCATCCCCCATGCAACTCCGCCATAAAATTATCATCAAGGTATCCAGGTGGCTTCTTCGAACTTCTACGTTCTCATCTCCCGTCAGGAGGGGATTCTCGATGATCGAGCTCGTGTTTGTAGGCCAAGAAAAGTCAGTCGTCCAGTAGGAAGAGAAGGCCGGAAATGGGTGATAAGGCGAACGATACCTACCCGATCGAAACGAAGGTATTCGAGAATGCGAGTCCCTTTTCTTTCAATGGGTGCATGAAAACAAGATAGCGGAAATGCACAGAAAAGTGCCACAAACCCTTCTATACTTCGCTTCACAGGAGGACACGGCTCTGAATGTGAGGCTATCGCAGTTGGTGACGCTGTGTCGACCCGTGCCGTTCGAAGGCTTTCAATACCACCGGGACCGAGGTGAAACTTACCGAATGCCTTCTTCCTTTGGCCTACGATATCCAAATGTCAAGAGACGAGTTCAGCGAAGAGTGTTCTTCCTTAGGGAATGCCTGGGAGATGTGCTCCTTCGGCGAGAGGAAGGCGTTGAGGCTGGCATCGGAAACGCCGGAATGTTTCATTAACTTCAACAGCCGCCAGCTGAGCCGCATCTATCCCTCTGGATTCCGAATGGATTCTTCCAATTTCGAGCCAACTGTCTTCTGGAGCGTCGGCTCCCAACTCGGTCCGTACCGCCCGTTGTCCTTCACGTCGTCCCTGTCACCAATCGAACGATGGTCCTCTCGGTCCCGACTCCAGTGGCATTGAACTACCAGAGTTCCGGGATCCCGATGTTGGTGAACGGGGCCATGTTCTCCCAAAATGGTAGATCCGGTTACGTTCTCAAGCCTCCTTACATGCGTTCGGGATCCTACCAAATCGGCGACGAACTCCGACGGTTCCTCTTCTGCTCCTCCTTTCCTCCCGTTGTATATCGACTCCTGGCATTTTTTCATCTACCTATTCAAATAGGCCCCCATGTACCCTGCATCTGAGAATCATCAGTGGTCAGTTCCTGCCAAAATGCACGAGGAAGGATTCGGATCCCTCGTATTTCTACGTGAAGATCGGTATCCTCGGTCACTCCGTGGATCGTGGAAGTGCTTTCAAGACGAAAGCCGTCCAATGCCGAGGTGCAGATATCCGTGTTTTTTCGAGCCTGAAAGACGGCATGACAGTTGATGGGTAGGAATAGGATGGGACTTGAATTCCCTGGCAGAAGCGTACACGTGTTGGAAGGAAGAGTGGAGGGCGACGATACGAGTGCCAGAAGTAGCATTTCTCTTCTTCAGGGTCAAATCCCGCCTGGGGACGAGGAGTATGGACGTCGCTTACGGCGTCATTCCCATCTCTGCCCTCGCTCGAGGTCTTCTTTTCCATTCCTCGATCACCGCCCCTCATCCTCTCATCGAGATCGTTCTTTTCGACAGGATATCGACACGTGAGGTTGGTGAACGGAGACGGAGGATCTGCCTCCCCAGCCACGCTCTTCCTCCATTCTTCCATCACTAGGCCTCCTCCATGCAAATAATTCCTCCATTCCTCCACCCCTTCCCTCCATTCTCACTCAAATGCACTCTCTGGAATTTTCATATCGTATGCCATTTCAAATAGGCTCATTTTGATACTTTACGGAGATCATCTTGACGAAAAAGATCCCAGATGGAAAAAGACCAACATCGCATGATTCTATTCCCATGATCCAAGACACCATGCATAGAAAGAACGCAGGGCAAATATCGCAAAAAAAGACTAGCAACATTGTCCTATATGATAATCCAGAATCATTCAAGACCGCGAGTCCATTTTTTGTACTGTAAAACTGGCTGGGATGACACGATGTGGAGTCCTCCTGGCCTGCAGGAAGATATTTTTTCGTTTCTGTACGTCTGTTGCTTCTCTCTTCGTCTGCAGAATCTGCAATTCCAACAGGGAAGGAGAAAGAAAGAAAAAAAAGCACAGAAAATCACATGGATCAGTCTGTAGTGTTGGGATTGGTGTAGGAGAAGCCTTTGAACTGGCTTTGATCCATCGATGCCAGAATGTCCTTGTCCACTGGTGTCAATTGAGCCTTCTGCACGGTGAAACCCCGGTCGAAATAGGATACATCCAGCGGGTGACACTGTCCAGAAAAGAAACCAATTCAATGAGCTCTGAGAGGAAATGTCCTCTATGGGGCTCCTGAATATAGGCCTAAATTAGTCGGAGTTTTTCTGATTGACCAGCCACACCCGAAAGCGAGGCACGTCTCCAACATGTTGAATGAAAATCCTACATCGACCTACCATGTATTTGAATTTTTTGCGACACACTCGGTACGTGCCGATGTAACGAAGTTATCTTCGGGCATGGATATCACGAATCTGTCTCAAAAATGCAGTTCGTTCCGGTCATTTCGTGACTGGAACACGAGGGCCTAAGTCGTAGCCGAACTTCTACTATGGTGTGTCGCAGGTTGTAGTGGAGGAAGAAGCAACTTCTCATTATAGCAATATTTGCTTCTTTTCCGTATCTTCTGAAATGCGGGATACTGACCGTCGCAAAAATGATCCTCTGCATTCAAGTACTGTACCGAGATTCTGAAGAATAAATAAATAAACCTATCGTTTTCGACGGAATGGCGCATATCGATGAAACGCTCGATATTTCGTCTGCAATATATTCGAAACGGGTCTGTAAGGATGCAGCGAAGCATTTTTTTGCGTTGCATGGTGGCTGTAGCGAGGCGGGCAAAGCGATCAATTCTATTGAGGACAACTCGGCAGATTTTCATATTCGATCAAGAGTTTTTTCTCCGATCAAACATCGCCAAAAACCAACCTTCTTGAAAGGTCTTTAGACGAAAGAAGAGTCCATAAAAAAAAAATTGATAAGAACGAGGAAACGGACCAGCTTGGGTTTGAAGGGAGGATCCTGCTCTTTCCTCTCGAGTCTCTCCCAGGGAATGACGTTGAAGAAGGGATGATGAAATATGTCTCCTGCCCCCAACCGCTTCTCAGGATCTTTCTCCAGCAGCTGAGGGTACGCGACAGGATTCACGTTGGATTCACGTTGGGGCCATATCAGGGGACGAACGAACAGAAAGGAAGCAGTAAAACTGACCACAGTGAGGATCCCTTTCGCCTCCTTGGACAAGTAGCGGGGGTACCGGGGTTCCTCGTTGCAGATGCACCAGAACAGCTCGTCTTCGTCGCACCCGTTGAACGGAGATTGACCCATCAACATCTCGTACAATAGCACTCCGAACGACCACCAGTCCACGCATTGATTGTAATGCAGACCCTTGATGATCTGCATTGCCATCGTCATCATCGTCACCGTGATGCACGAAAACAGAGACGGGAGGAAAAGGAAACGAACCTCGGGTGCCATGTAGTCCGGAGTGCCACAGAATGTGTCTGCCGTCCTGTCCAGATAAATCTGGAGCTTGCACATCCCAAAGTCTGCTATCCGCACGTGACCTTCGTAATCCAGCAGAATGTTGTCCAACTTCAAGTCCCTGTCATGGCCACAAGCAGCAATCAGAAAGATTCTGGATTTCACGAGTACAGGGTATGGCGACAAAAGTATACTCCTGACCTTGAATCTTAAATCTCCTCTCTCAATATAAATATTTCCAAACAAAAGCACTGCTCACAGTTTGGTATGTTTCATGGGATTCGAGAAATTTCATCCAAATCCGCTCGGCCTTAATAAGATGAGCAATTGCTTAGAAAAGTCTGAATTTGAAAAAGGCCGGGGCTGGTGCTGGGAAGCGAGTGGAGGGAATGCCAGTAGCAACGTGGCTGCATATCCTGCTGACCACATCCAGCACCTATAAGATTCAGTCTTTTTCCTGACCTATCATTAAATACGGATTTGATCAGTAATTTTTCTCAAATAATGACCAATCTTCCAAGACCGGGTTTGTTTCTGGAGCGGTATGAGTTAACCGTGCCAGTACCTCGACAATAATTGTACCGTGATGAGCAACATATAGAGCTTCCTGAACTGTCGGAATAATACAGTATTATAAATATTACTCAAGTATCACCCAGAAGAATGCTCCTGGATAAGGAGACGAAATGGGTTACCGCACAGAGCGTTTAAAGTTTCATCATATATTCGTCGCGTTTACTTCGGAGGAGGCAACAGGAGAAAAAAGTTCGCTTTCAAGGGCCTGGTTCATTTCCATTTTCCATTCCCGTTTTCTATCAAACAATCCCCCATAGACTTGTTTCAGAAAAATGGATTTGAAAAAAAAGTATACAAGTCCATTTAAAACATATCAGGTGGCGCACAGCGCTGTTTCGTGAAAATATATTTAGTAAGAATGGAGGATATAACGATTCAAGTCTCCGCATTTGTCGGTCATACCCTATAGAGCAGCGATGGGAAGCCTTTTTGTTTCGCTTGCCACAAAACGACCTGCGTAAAACGCGGCCTCGAGAGGCAATCTAACGCGCGTAACATTAGACTCTGCGGAGTCAGTCTGATGAGTTGCAAATTTGGAAAAAACTTGGGATATTTGTCGTGACGAGGTCACATAGTGATCGTGATCACTTAGTAGCTGCCCTCACCGAGATGATGAGATGCAGTGACAGCCCGCATGGCGCTTAGGATTGCATTGCGGAAAACTGGGTTGGGCTATTCATCTTAAAATGGCAGGGCTCCATGACGATCATGGCCCATATTATGATGGCTATGGTCCTAGGTCTACTGTATCTTTCTGCAGGACCACTGGCTGGGGCCTGTCAGCGATTCAGGCAAGTAGTGACCAGGAGCCAGGACATCTTCCTAGGGTAGGAAGATACCCTAGGAAGATAAGTCGACTCGTCAGTAGAGCGAACGAAGGAGGCTCAGGCTTCTGTGAAAAAAAAAGGTTATGCAAAGACGAGGAAAGAAATCACCCTTCCTCTGTGATTGCCATGTTTTCAAAATCGTCAGTGGCAAGTACCGTCTCCTTCGTCTTAAGCACGTCAGCATTAAGCCATCGGGATGGCTTCTCCGAGATGAATGGTACGCAGCATTAATGCTGTGACGCAGCCGGGAATCTTATTATCGATTATCATGGATGCGATGCCAATATTTCCAAAAATATTGGCGTCGCGTGTCACTTTGAGCACGGGTGCTGTGAGTTCGTCATCACTGGTGTATAGTAATCTCCGAGGTGATACCTGTAAATGATACCCTTCTTGTGGAGGAAGCGAAGCCCAAGTATGATTTCGGCGGCATAGAACCTCGCTCTGTCTTGGTCGAATCTTCCGGACGTCTGGATATGGAACATCAAGTCTCCCCCGTTCAGGTACTCCATCACGAAAAACAAATAGGACTAAAGGGGATTTAAAAAAACAAACGTGGGAATAAAAAAAAACTGACTCCCTCATTACTTTTCCCTTTGTTCACCACCTCCCGCCAATAGGACTTAGCAACGATCAATCTCCAAATCTTCACCGAATGACCCGAAATCACAATACCAATAGTTAATTACGACTTAGAAACGGCAGTGCCACTAGGTCCGATGGATAAAACATATTGACATATGGCATATTGGCATGAGTGTGATAATGATAGTTATGAAATTCATTCCATCACTCTTCCAGGACCCATGGTCCGTCCAGTTCGTCCAGGTATATCAGTTGTCATAAAACAGCAAGAAAAGCGCTGGAAAAAAAATCGTAGAATGCACATTCATGTCCTGAAGACATTCTCCTCAAGATATGGAAAAACGATGGACTAAAGACGTCTTCAAGGTATCCTATGAAGAGCTTGGGACAATTAGTCCTGTTGGGGACATTCCTGGGAAGTCTCTGCCCGCAAAGGGAATTCCAGATCAAGACTTAATACATGATATAAAATATGGCCATCCATGGGCTCTTTATTTAAAACATATATGACACAAATATGTCCATATATGTTGATATGTTTTGGCCATATAAAGTCCCTTAACTCCTTCCAGCCAAGTTTGGCGCATATATAGTCAAATATGTCCAAATACACCCAGTACATACAACTGTATTTGGTACTTCCGTAAGGGTGTGCTGTGTGGGATAAGACACGATGACAATGCGCAATCAAGAGCCTTGCAATAAGAATGCAGCCATGAAAAGCTGGTTTCTTTTTATAGGCGAAGAATGGGAAACATCTGTAGAGCACTGCTGAAACCGTTGCCTATCGATACTTGGAAAAGAGGAATTTTCTTATCCAAGTTTCAACGACTGTAGCACGTTACCTAAACAACTTAGGAGATTTCAAAACGTTCATGAACAAATTTTAGAATGTTTTCTGTGGCACAAAAAATTGGGAAATCTATATTTTTTAAATAAAGATTCAAGCAGGACGCTTTTTTTGCGCAGTACGGTATTTCATTTGCTTTTCAGAGAAGCTCCATCCAGGTATTGTATTCAGAGGGGATGCGCGTTAAGGAAACGTGGTCTCCATGGGAAGGTGAGACGGCAAGAGGAGTTACCGATTAGATGAAGAGCCATGCATGAGTACCGTGAACTTTGAGCTGTGTATGGGTGCATCCAAACAAGTTCCTTCCTCGAGCATGAGAGAGGAGATAAATACATAGAAATACATAGAAGTAAACAAGGATAGGGTGGTATACATGTAATTTCATTCTGTATTAAAGTACGATCTGACATTCCAAACTGGCGTTGCTTATTCCGAGTTAGTAATAAAAAATTTGTTGACCACCCTGTATTTTTAGTTTTGGGAATGGCGAGCGAAAGGATGGATGCACACGATCGGATGTGGCTACGCATTCCCGATTCGCCTCTCGACTCCAGATCAGAACTGCAGCACTTGATGAGATGCACAAGTTGAACAAAAGAAAACTTGGATAGCAGTTTATATCAAGGCAGGACAAAATGAATGGGCTCATCGATGCAATCGGCGTGATACGCCGTCGATAAGAGGAAGTGAGAGAAGACGAACTATGCATGAAGGTGGCTTTAGTTAACCTGGGATTGTTGAAGGCGTAGCCATAGAGTAAAGTGACACTAGAGGTGACACTCCATTCGAATCCCATTGACAGGGTCGCAAGGTCACTGTCGGTCCTCCACCCAACGGACGGACCCCATCACTAACTCCTCCATGGCCAAGCAGCGAACTCAACGACACCCTTGTATTCCGTCCAGGAACTCAATCAGGAATTCAACTCATCCTCGCGGAAGTGTTGCTGACAATGGGCCACCAGATGTCTCTAATATGTGGACCACTCCCCCCCCCCCATCTCTCAGAGTGTCGCCTCTAGTTACATTCTCTACTCGATGGATGTGAAACCAACACATGCAGACATACCCCATCTTATCCTGCAAGACAGGCAAACGAGATAGGCGGATGCAAAATGCCGGTTTTGGAGATTCGTTTAGATGAAGCCTGGGCTAAGTCTCTATCGGTTACAGAATAAGATGCATGCAGCCTACATCGCCCCGCTCTTCTCAGGCATAGGCCTTAACATACTCAGGTCGATTGAGCGGCAGAAACATGTGAACAAGTTCGCCTTGATCAAGACATATAACGGTGAGACTGACGCATTCTTAATCAACTTTGCCATCGTGTACGACGGAGTCTGTATGAGGGCTCTAAAGGCACGGGTCAATGCCCAGTTCAAGGACCCTCCCTAGATGTGACTTAGGGCCACCTTTTTTGGCCGAAAAAGTCTCAATTATTGAGAACAGGCCATATTGGTCTCACACTATCCCTGCGATAGTGGAGTTCCTCCTGGAGTTCCTCGACCACCCCGACGAGGATTTTTTTTTTGTTGCTGTTATCGGGAGGTACGATTCCTATCTCATTGATGAATGTGGCCCAATTCAATTTACAAAGGCATGAATCTCATCCGAGAGAGCAGGGGCACCACATTGGGTTATCACGATACGGCCAGAACAGCTGATGCAGAGAGATGCGCTACCCGTTGAAGAACCTTGACCATCGGGTATCTTTAACAAGCCTTGTGGAAGGCGCAGATAATGCGACTCGTGAGATGGGTCTCCGTCCCGAACGGCATCAGGGGCTGCCCCTTGCTATCGACTTTCCCTTTTTCAAATCCGAATCCCTTCCTCGGAATGGAAAGGCTCTACCTACTGAGCCACATTCCGATTCCTCTCGACGAGGACGTCTGCCAGCAAGTGGGGTGCCCATGCCCAGATCCGAGAATTATCGAATGGCGAATTTGCTATAGGAACTTTTCTGTTCCCCGCTCGGCAGCGAGCATCGCTTCCATCTCTCCTCGTTGTAACATAACCCAAACACATACATTGTGCTTTGCGACCGGAAGAGTCAAACATCGATACGGCAGAAAATTATCGGTAGAATCGATATATAACATCCAGCCCAGAATCCGGCAACGATGCCGATGAGGTATCGTTGCCAGATGCTGGGCTAAAGACACGGCTTCAGATTCATCCGACTGGCACGAATCCAAATCCGCAGAACTCCAACAACTCAAAGGTCACAATTCTGGCTCTTGGGACTCGGATCTTTCTTTCGATCTTGGTGTTTTCGAAACCTTCCAGTTGGGTTCAGCAAGTGGGAAAAAAAAGTTAGAAGGAAATTCCCGGGGGCACAATATGCGATCCTGGTCCAGTGGTGCTGAAACTTCAAGATTACCCTGTCCAGAGAGTATGAACCATCTTCGATTTCATTTCTCCAAAAGCTTTAGAGTGGATTATGCAAAAGCAATTGTAGTCAGGAACCGGAGTGAAGAAAGGGAACAGCTCCTTGTCTGCCTTTCATCGGAAAAATGGTACGTCTTAGCTTATATCCTGCGTTTCGGAAGTCTCCATCATTGTTTATGCAGCCGTGGAGAGCATACGGTTGGAAGGAGAGGTACCATACTCGATGCGCAGATCAATTTGGCAATGGGGAAAGCGATTCACTCATGTTCGTGATGTGAATGTAAAGTGTTTATAGATGGCGTTCAATGTGGTTCCCATTAGTGGAAATGATTGTCTGAAAGCGTGGCAACACATCCTGCTGCTCGAAGCACGTCTCGAGGTATGGAGCGAGCTTCCTCACATATGCTCTCCTTCAACTCGTGGAGTTGAAGGACGTTACGGGAGGGACGTTACGGGAAGCTCTGCCCCTTCTCTCTTTCAGACCTGAATTAAGGCCGTTATCGGAATAATATCCTTTTTGCATTTTTGAGCTCTTTCGTGATTTTATTAATAATTGTAATTGTCATGCTTTATATGTAGTTTTCATATTTTGTTTAAATTTACCATATATTATATATTATACATTTAATTAAAATAACTGAAGATTACAACACAAATAGGTGAAAGAAGGCCTCTGATGGAGCTGAGCCATGCATAATTGCGCCCATTTTAGCGTAATATGCAACGCAAAGTCACGAGAATCTTAGTCTGCTGGAGAGAGGCCAGGCGATCCTGCAGACCAGGATTGTTCAAAGTGTTGGCTGATCACACGATCTCCGAAAGCGGCCATGGCGAGACGATCTGAACTGCCTTCCCCATGGTCAAGTTGGTCTACATAGGGTAGGTGATACCAATTCCGACCCCCTTAAGCTCAAAGTCCGCCCCCTCACCTATGGTTTGAAAAAAAAAATTAGGGATCTATGCCAATCGAGAGGAAAATGCACACACTGTCCATTCCCGTTTAGAGACCATGCATTGATGTACAGTAATTTGGTTGAAAAAGGCTGTTTGTACTTCTAATTACGTTGAAATATGTAGCGTGAGGGTGGACTTTATAGCTGGGTCGGAAATTGTATCACCCACCCTACCAAGCTTCACAACACTCTGGCCATCAGTATGCTTGGTGTGCTCGTCTGAACATTGATAGTATCTTTTGAAACGCCCGTAAATTTTAGATTAAATAAGTTGATGAAAGGGACATACAGGGGTCTGGAAAGTACAGAAGAGTTGACAGAGGAACGGATGCCTCGTCCCGATGGTGAGGACTTTTCTCTCGATCATGGTGCATTCCACGTCGTCGTCCTCCAATACCACGTCCTTCTTCAGGCACTTGATGGCGAAGTAGCAATCCGAGTCTCTCAACTCGGCCAGCATAACCTGCACGGGTCAGCGATCGATGATCCCTCAGTGGACGGGAGTGGAAGGTGCCTCGCAGGAGAAGGAAGACATGATGTGTGGCTTACCTTGCCAAAAGAACCCTTGCCGAGGACCTTGAGGAACACGAAGTCCTCGACGGCATACTTGCGGAACTTGGGTCTCCTGGGAGCCGGCATTTCCTGCTTGGGTGCCGATGGACGGTGAGGATACACTGGGGTTCTGCTTGAGGCCTTCGAGCTCCCATCACTTTCCTCTTCCTCCTCTTCCTCTTCTTCCTCTTCCTCTTCTTCCTCCTCCTCCTCTTCCTCTTCATCTCCTCCTCCTCCTCCTCCTTCCTCAGGCCCTTTCCCTTCTGTGGAACTCTTTCGACTCTGGGTGGACCTTTTGGACGACGACGATGATGATCCTCCTTCTGACTTCCTCCCCGATCCCCTCCCTAAAGCAACATGGGACATCCATACGTTCGAGGGGTCTTACTTCACGAACGAGGAGTTTCCTGTGAGATGGAAATGAATAAGCTAAATAAACGGTGTAGACGTACTACTTGCATCGCCCCCCCTCTTGATGGTGGACATGGCCTCGGCAAGGAGCTTCTGGTTCACTCCGCATAAGTTTGGCATGTGTTTCTCGCACTTTTTGTGACAATTCACGTTGCACACTGTAACACACAAAAAGTAAACAATAGAAATAATCGAGAAGATACATAAGATGACATAGATAATATGTACGATTGCTAAAGACAAAGCAACATTTCTTCGTATGTACAAATCCCCAAAAATTCCTATTGAACATCAAACGAAAGCTCTGGAGGCAGAAAACAGAAATAAGTGTTTCATTAACTGCCTCGTGCATTAAGATCGTGAGCAATACCTACAATTCCTTTCCACCCGCCGTTCATCGCACCTCCATTTCTACTATTAATTAATTGGCTATTATCGTGTACTTTTTTTTCCCAAAGATGGCAAGATATATTTGTTGGGGACTCCTCGATACTATGATTCTCTCGAGCAGTCACAAGGCCGAATTTTTTGTCGCGGGCCGAACCTGATGATTGAGATTCCTTGGAAGTGCGAGGAGTTAGAATTCGCTTTGATTGCTCTTCCTCCTCGAGAAGGTTTTCGTGGGGATATAGTTCTACAGCCTCATTCGTCTCCTCCAAAGGCTTTAGAGAGTTCTCTAACTCTTCCTTCTTCGTTCCGTCTCGGTTTCCTGCATTCATCGCAGATTCAGATTTCTCGAGCCCATTCTTTTCAGACTCCTTCCTCATAAAGTCTTGTTTCGTAGCAGGACAAATCACCTTCGGCTGATATATCCGAGGCCGATCGACCTTCGATTCCTTGTCATTCTCGTCGTTCCACTCGGTTTCCGATTCGGACTTTCCCTTATGTTTCACGCGTGCAGAAATGACTTTCGTCTTTGAAGCGTCCGATACTGCCCCACCCTCCGTCGCGTCTTCTTCCAGCACCTTTCCGGGAATCAGGCGACGTTTTCCCGACGTACCAATATCGGACCGAGACTCCACCAGGGTGCCGACCGTGTCATCAGTCGAAAAGAAATCAGGAGAGTCAGCTTTTCCACAAACCTCTCTATTTCCATCGGTTGCAGGTTCTTGGACTCGACCCATGATTTGAGATTCCTTTCGCATTTCCTTCTGGCACGGTCGAGCAGGTTCCTTTAGTTCTTCGTCTCGTTGCGAGAGCTCTTTCTCCTGTGAAGCCATCGACTCACAGACGGCTGCTTGGAGACCGACTTTATTCTTCGGCCGCTCTTTCACGCTCTTCGCCACTTCGAGAGCTCCTGTACCTGTATGCTTTACTTCGTAATCCGAGGTGGAAGGGAGCGGAGCGATTTGTTTCGCACGAGATCCCTCTTTTGTTCTCTTCGCTATGCCCAGTGCTTTTCTCTTGTCTGCTGGACGTGACAGCGGCCGGTTAACCTCTGGGTTCCGTTTTTTCACACAAACTTCATTTCGCTGTCCACGGCAGTCCACTGCCTTTTTCTCTGTTGAAACCGATTCCTCGACGATTTCAGACTCGGTGATTGCCTCATTTGCAGTTTCAAAAACGTTGTTTCCACGTTCCTTTGGTTTTAGAGAGTTTTCTTTCTTCAGTTCAGGGTTGAATTTTTCAACGCGTTCAGGCCCGTTGGTTGCATGTGTCGCTATTTTTGCAGTGGTTTCATCTTTTTTCCTCCAAAGAGAGCCTATTGTCTTCTCCTCGTTGACTATAGGATTGGTGATCGCCTGGCTTATTGTTTTCGCAGAGGCTTCATCCTTTTTATGTCCAAGTGATTCCTCTCCGACCTCCTTCCGAATTGCGTTCTCAATGATTTTAGGTTGCCTCGTCGCTTCGCTCACTGTTTCTACAATGGCTCCTCCTTTCTGTCTGGCCGATTCTTTTGGCCTCTTTTTTGGAATCGCTTTCTCGAGGATCTCAGATTTAGTAATCGCTCGGTTCACCGTTTCCACGGCGTTTCCATTTTTCTTCGACTCCAGTGATTTCTCTGTTTTTTTCCCCTTTGGGACGGTTTCGATGAATTCGTGCTCGGTAGTAGCTGGGACTGTTGCTTTGGCAGAGGCTCCGTCTTTCTGCTGTCTCATTTCTGCTTTTGTTTCCTTCGAAGGCACTTCCTCGATAATTATTGACTCAATGACGACTCTATTCACTCTTTTCGCAGCGGCTTCATCCTCCTTCCTCCCAGGGCAGTTTCCCTTCTTTTTTGTCGCAGTTGCTTCTCCATCATTCTCCATCGCCTTCTCTCCAGGTGATTTCCCCGCTATCTTGGCCTTCGGAACATTGCTCTCCAAAAATGACTTTGTCACTGGATGGCTGACTTTCGTCAGGGCCCTGGCTTTCTCGAGTTTCTCTACCTTTGGAATCTCCTCATCAGAAGGCGTAATGTTAACGACTTCTCGGTTACCTTTCCTTGCTCCAACTCCATTTTTCTCTTCGCGAGATATTTTTATTCCTTCGTCCTCAGAACCCTTCTCTCGAGTGAACACTGAGTAGTTGAGTTTCCTCTCCCCAATAGGCTCTGACTTCTCTTCAGAGGCCTGTCCTTTTCCCAGATTGTGTCTTTCTCCTTCTCTGGAAGGATGATTCTCCTCACTGTTCGTCTTGGTCGCAATCTCCAAGGACTGAATTATTTTTTTCCCCTTCATCTTCCCTTTCACCACTGTTTCTGCTTGGGCTGCTAAACTCTCATCCATTCGAGTTTGAGAGGGTGAAACGGAGATGGAATCGCTCTTTGTCGAAGAATTCTCGTTTTCCCTTCGACAGGTTCCTTTTCCAATGGGTAGGACATTTTCTTTGTCCGACGGAAAAGTCTTCTGCTTGACCGTAACAACGATAGATATATCACCCTCCTTTTGAGTCTCTCTTTCGATTATCGAGAGTTTCCGATCCGTCGATTTCACGGCGTCACGGTGACGTGAGAGGTCATCACAGACGATAATCACAGAATCGTTCAGAAGGAGTTCTGATGGCGCGGGTATCAGCTCTTCTTGCTGGTCTGATTCACCTCTCAATTTCTCTTCTGAGGTCTTGTTCTCGGGCTTCTCTTCCGAAAGTTCTTGAAGGGCTAGGAAACCGGACAAGAGGTCCTCGGCCGTTCCCTTTCTTTTTACCTTCGATTTTTTTCTAGTCCTCTTCTGCTTCTCCTGCGCCGTATCCGTCTCGGCCTCAAACGCCATCCCCTCGCTTCCCGAATTCTTCACTTCTTCGTTCTCCACGTTGTGGTTCTCGATCACCCGAGACTTATCATATTCGGAACTGGTCTGGACTGCATCTTCCAGCTTGCGGGCGAAATCTTCCACGGAATCCAAACAGCTGGTTCTCCTCTCCATCGACGGCTTCGAAGGAAGTATTGGCTCTTCTGAAGAAAGAACGAACAAATCGCCAGGCATCTCTTCATCCGAGTTATGTGAAACCGAAACCTCGTCAGGCTTCGATTCCACACATTCTACGTCTTCTTCATTGTTCACGTCTGGCTCGATGTGGTCTACAGGCGATCGTCTGTCATCTGTCGTCACCATCGAGGGATTAACTCCCGTTTTCTTCGATAAAAGTCGCCATTTCTCTTGAAACCTCTGTCCAGATGTGTAAGGAGCTTTTCCTTTCTTTCCGGTTGTGATCCGTATCACAGTCCGTCCTCGACGAATAGTCCCGAATCTGAGATTATTATTGGGATGCTTGGTATGAAGATGTGGCTTCCCGTGGGAGACGTCGATGTTCGATGTGTCCTTCAGCACAGGTTTCGCTTGGGAATAGACGTTGAGGGAAAAGCTGCTGGTCGGCCTGCTCGACAGGGACGGACTCAAGTACAAATAATTGGAAGGACGCTGTCCTTCTGAGATGGTCGGAAGGGGAGCATAACGAGTCTGCAAGGGAGGGATCCAAGAGGACGAGGGAAGCGGTGGCAGAGAGATTCCCAGATGGGACGAGAGCCCTATCCCCGTCCCATACACCGTCCGAGATGGCAACTTCTTCAACGGAGAACGAGAAGAAAACCACAGATCCTGTCGGAGGGGTTTAGTCGTGAAGGGAATCGGGTAAGTCCAATCGAATGGCATCACGCTGATCCCGTCACACTAATCACGACATTCAACGTAAAGAAGAAGGTGGTGGAAGAGATAGACTGGAGGGAAAAGGTGCATGTTCCTTTGGCACCTGCTCCAACCTTGGACTCTTTCCAAGACTGAAAATAAATCCTCCATCCTCATTGGTATCTGCCTCGTCACTACAAAGACAACCCTTTCGGTCCACGGTATAGCACTACAGAAGCTATTACGACCGGGCAGATCTAAACCTGTCAAGACGTTTTTATATGGATCGCGTTCAGGCATACTTAGAGCCTACTTGAGATGATCCACTTATGTTGTCTGCAACCAATTCCTTGTTGTGAGCGGAGAGTATCCCGGTCATCATCTCGATGGCAGAATCAGAGTCGCAGAATCTCAAGATTTTTAAGTTCAATAATATGTGACATGCACCAAATTGTAGTCAAATGAAACCCATTTTAAAAGGGGGCTGGCATAGATATAAAATCAACTCGTACTGCTAGTGGGCATATATTCAATGTGAATGATTCCTAAAGGGTCCCAGAAAATCATCGCCATGGCTTTGCAAGCCGAAGCATGAGTCCGAAACTTCCTGGGTGGCAGAGTCTTCGTGCTTCCACAGCATCGACTGCTGCTTGGATTCTGGGTCCTTGCGGTCCAGCCAAGTTTTTGCTTGCAATGCCCTTTTTTCCCTTCTAATGACATTTCCGGGAAATCAAGGTATCAAGGTTTGGGAAGGGACATCAAAAGGCGATTACGCCCATAGGGATCGTCGAGGTCGAGAGTTCCAGCACAAGTAACATGGGATAGGCCTACTTCTCTTAGAGATAGATATTTTTTGGTTTTTTATTTTTTTTTTTAGCATATCCTAGTCTCTTATTGTCAAGTCCTCCTAATACCTAGTCCTTTAACATTTACATTACTCTCTTTGTTTTGTTCATGAAATCGTCTAGCCTCCTCTTAAAGCTAGTCACAGAAGGGGCGGCCACTGCGTCATCACTTCGCGCATTCCATGCATTCACCACCCTGCAAGTAAAGAAATCTTGTGCAACTTGAGCCGTGCCTAGGGTTTACGCAACTTAAGTTAATTTCCTTTCGTTCTCAAACAACCGTCAATCTGGAAGAACGTATCCCGCTCTACATTTTCGATCCCTTTAATGATCTTGAAAGCCTGGATGAGATCCCCCATCGTTAACCTCTCGAGCGAGTACAACCCCAACACTTCTAAACGCTTCTCATACGGAAGTTCCCTAACCTCCTTGATTATTCGCGTAGTCCTTCTCTGGACCACCTCGAACCCCGCCAAATCGCTCTTATTCGAAGGCCTCCAAAATTGAATGCAATACTCCAAAAGGGGTCTTAGTAGTGCCTCATACAACGGGAGAATTCACGCGAGCTCCTACTGGCTACGCGACGGATGAAGCCGGATGGATGAAGCATTTTTCTATCGTCGTTTGCGCGTGCGAGGAGAATTTGGGTTCATCAATCGTAATCACAAGGTCCCCCTCTCCGCTTGCTTCATCCAGTTTATCTACTCCGAACTCGTTCAGAGGCCTATCGTTATTATGACCGACGTGAAGAACCTTACACTTACTGTTATTATACCTCATGAGCCATTTCTTGCTTCACTCGTCCAAGAGTCTTAAATGTTGCTCGACTCTCGTCCTATCCGCTTCCCCCCCGATAGAAAAACCTATTTTGGTATCGTCGAAAAATTTCTTGATCTTACCCTCTAGGCCTTGATCTGAGTCTTTAATGTAGATCAGAAAAAGAAGCGGTCCTAGAACAGAGCCCAGAGGAACACCGCTCGCGACCTCGACCACCGTCGACGCTTCCTCATTTACCATCACTCGCTGCTCTCTTCCTGTCAACCAGCTACTAATCCAGTCTCTCGTCCTACCCAGGACGAAATCGCGAAATCTAAATAGATGACATCCACGGTGTCCTCCTTATCTCTCTGTTCCGTCACTCAATCGTGGAATTCGAGCAAATTGGTGAGACAATTTCGATGCCCCCTAAAGCCGAGCTGAGAGTCCTGGATGAGCGCATTGCCTTCGAGGAAATTCAAAATTTCGACGTAAAACTTTTTCTGGTGGAGATGGGGAATCTTAGGTCCATGATTTGATTGAGGGTATAAGTCCACCTACTGCAGTAGTGAATGATATGGTATGGAAAAGGAAAGCTTTAATGAACTTATCTGCAAAGTCTCATCAATAAACAATACGGAAATACAGTGGTTGGAGCGACGAAAGTATGCTTATTCTTTCAGTCTGTGGTTTTTCGAGAAAAAAAACACCCTGGCAGCGCAGCCTATGCTTTAAAAACACACCCGCCAAATGGTTGACATCCAGACATCACACTGCATGTAAAACAAACTGAAGCGCAGAAAGGGGGGAAGGGGACAGAATTCTTCCCTGCGGAACCGCACTTTTTGCTCTCCACCTAGATATGAGTATTATTTTCCTCTGTTGCACCTTCTTTGTCTCGTTCGTAAAGACCGTTTCATATTTTGCCTCTCTTCCGTGTGACGCGTGTGACTTAGCGATGCATGCAACAAGCGACTTTGCACGCGTCCCCATGCGTTCGAATCCAGGTTAGACGAGTAGACCAGGTTGGGTAACATCCCAGCTCCCAGTTGAAGCTCGGAGGACGATGACATCACTAGCATACACTCCTCGACAAGCGGATAAAATCTTTCATACTTTTTCTGTCAAAAATGTCACATCGGTCAGCTTTTTTGCATATTGCCTTGCTTTTGGGTGTCAGTTCCATCCTATTGCGCTTCCATGAATGCATCGTCTGATGCGGTGCCGTCAGGTCCATAGCATTTGGATATGCAGTTCGCACGTGCGGTCGCCGCCTGCAAAAAGCCATCTGATTCAAGCCAACATACAAAAATTCTCGTTTCATCGTTTCCCAAGGGATCTGAATTGCGAAAGACCTGGGTGATACGGCTCAAGTGTGCGGATCCTTCATTCAATCCAGTTAATTCACGAATATACTCCATACATTCCAACGAGGAAGACTTCAGACACTTCAGGAATGAATTGCTGGGAACCAACGGCGTATTTTAAGGGGGGGGGGGGGCAGGGGGAGCGGCCGCCCCCTCTGACGCCCCTGGAACACAGCTTGGCGCCCCCTAGGTGGTAATTTTTTTTTCCTTGATGCCGCTCGGGTGGGTTTTGGCGCCCTCGCTCTGCTGCCCTGCCCTGCCCTGCCCTGCCCCCCCCCCCCCCCCCCCCCCTCCTCCCCATCTCATTCATCCCAACCCCCCCCCCCCCCCCCCCCCCCCCCCCCCCCCCCCTGCCTCTTCAGCCAAATAGGCCACTGCTGGGAACCAATAGTTGGTTAACCAACAGGAAAAACTTTTTTTGAGGCTGTGGAGTGAGGATAATGCGCTTCGCATAACATAGGAAAACCAATGGCGAGAACGGAGCAGTGGAGGCAGGGGTAGGCTTGTTCCGTTGGCTGCTCGTATAACACCTACGGAAAAAGCATTGACTACCACAGACAATTGCACTGTGTATGTGTGTCTGTTAACGCTTTAGCATCCGAACCGTTGAATATAGAGCGCTGACAATTTTTACACAAATTCCTTAGCATCAAAGAATTTGCCCTTCTCATTGAACAACTTGATCCAACATACCGTTTTCCTTATTTTCGCGAAAGACTCAATTTTGCAATGGGGGATAAAATTTGCCCATCATGGCTTCTGAACTCGTGGATACCATTGAATAGACTTCGACAAAGAAAATTAAAATGTCCTCTGGCTCGATACAATCGGTGTACGAGGTCTAGAGTAATAGGTAAACAATGGGTAATTAATGATTGAACTGCAGCCCTGCCATCTGGTATTCATTAATACTTGAATAAACACGGTTTTCATGAGAGAATAGTGATGGCGAATGAATCGCCGTCTTTGCGAGTCATCCCCGGTGAGTGCTATAACTACTCGAAGAACCCGCATGAGCTTCATGGAAATAAATATTTAAGAAGTGCTCTCCTCCCTATGGAGATGATTTTTCGCCAAAAAGTCAATCGTACTCCATCTGTAACACGTCTTTCGGACTTATTAAGAATGCAGGACCATGATGCAGGCAACCGTAACGTATATGGTAGCGAAATCTTATGCTTCGGTTTAGAATTGCTTCTAGATATTGGGGCCCAAGCGCCACCCATACAAAACGTTCGTCCGAATTTTACCGCTTTTTCCCTTAATCTTTACCTGAAGGTCTTCTGACAGGTTGAGAGACGGCGGAAAAGCCGATTTTTTACCTCAGTTTCACCATCCCAATTTTACCTCAGGGGAAAATTTTTGTAAGGGTAAAACGTCGTTCTCAGATTCGTAGCGCCTAGCAAGGAGCAAACAAAAAAAAACACGAGAGCGGGCTTGGAAAGCCATGGAGTCAGAATCTGAAAATTCGAAGAGAATGCGAATGAAACAGGACGCCGCTCGCATTTAGTTGGTACCAAGGTGGACCAGAAATGTTCAGAAATAGGTTGCCACATACTCTAGCCTGGACGTTAAAAATATACAAGTCACAAGGATGAAGTGTACAGAAGGCAGATATCCATATTTGCCAACAAACGGCTGACAACAATCGGCAGACCAGCCAAATGCCAAAGAGCATTGGGCTGGTCAGTCATTGTTGCCCTCTCGAGAAAATGAACTAGGGTAAACTTACCTTGAGTGGCAAGGATCTTACAGAATCTGCTGTAACGGTTAAGCCGTTACAGCGAATCGGTTCAAATTTTGGTTTTGAATAGAGTTACGTCTGTTAAAAACGGATTAGGAACGAAAATCATATCGCGTAGATATTCAGGGCGAAAAAAAATTACCAATCCCAACACTGTCACTTATCTTGAGTGGCAACAAATATACCCTGAGTGGCAAGTAGACATGACCTAAGTGGCAAGTCAAGATGCCAAATTCTGTTCGTCAATATAACAAATGGCACGTATATACAAATTGCAAATAATTAAATTGTACTTCTCTCGATGAGTTTTGAACTATTTTAAATAAAACTAGGTCCAGAATAACTCGATTACAACCTGGTAGGCTTAAGGAATTCTCGTGTCAACTTGTGATACCATTTTCTGTGTCTCTTTGCATCTAGTCTATTAACTTCACATCAGCGGCGATCTCTATCCTTGCATTTTACTTCTGATTTTGATCACGAGTGGTCTTATTACTGTACAGGGCATGGAAAAAAATGACCAAAGGCCTTATAACGCCTTTAACCTGGACATCTCTCTTCACACGGTAGGAGGGTTGGACTTGGGTTGGGGAGCTTTTTCGCAAAACTTTAAAGGGTTAACTATTACTAACCTTGGCATTTGAGTCCCTGTCGAAAGATGCCGTAGAGCATTGAACCACAGTGATCGCAGAATGTTGGGCTCATGTAGTTGTGTATCTTGAAACGGTGAGGCACGTCGATCTTGAATCTCTCCCTGAGGTACTGCCGAAAGAATCACAATTAACATAAATCATGAGAATGCATTGGATAGATCCAGCCTCACGCTGATCTCGGTTATGACAAGTCTGCAGTTGATTTTATGGATAGATTGAGCAGGAGGAACTCACAATAGTGCTCTGGGATTCCTTGCTAGAGCCAGGACACTTCCCAAAGATCTTGTCGTGACACTTCTTGTGCACTGCACACTGGCACTCTGAAAGAACAGCCAGAGAAGAGAGTCACATCTGACCGTAGTTTTTTTGGCATATATGCCAAATATATGCAGTCCTGAGCTGTCCGGAGTCATCCTTGAAAAGATCACTTTATTAAACATAATGTGTTGAATTTCATGAAACGGTGAAAATTCGGGTCTAAGGATGAGAGCGCCTTGCCTTGAATTGAAAAACTAATTCCGTGGAACACTTTCCTTCAAGGATCATAAACGCAAAGTCTAAAGTGCTTTGGCAAATATCAGAGTATTTTTTATTACAAAAGCAAGGATCAAGACTTCGGGGCGTAAGAATCTGCTGTGAAGTTATACTGAGTGGCGCATCCAAATTTCACAAAGACTGAAGATAAAACAGACATAAGTGCAGCACATGGTGAAGAGATATAGACTGAAGGCTCCCAAGCGAATCAAGTACACCACTCCCACATCAAATGCGATGGAGAAGAGGAGGGTTCGAGCTCAGGCTCTTTACTGTCGATTTAATTCCTCCAACTACTGTTTTGGGTCCAATGGACCCTGATTAAAAAAAAAATTAGTTACTTGTAGAGGCGGCGCCGTAAAGTTGGAAAGTCCGATACTCCTTGTATTTTCATGAAAACATGAGACAGTAATTAGGCAAAATATTTTAAGCGATTCTTTGAGAATGAAGAGATAAAACAAATACATAACCATCCGGGTTCTGGAAATTAGAGGGTTAAAACAGATAATGTGATGCGCATTGTCTTCCCGGACGAGAAAGACTTTATGCTGGAAGTGCTGATCAATCTGCAAAATAACCGGGTTTATACTGAAGGGAAAAAAATCCGATATACACCCAGATTTCCACTACTACCAGCAGAGCACATTTTCAAGGAAGCTCCCCAGCAAACAAGGCTACGTTGGATTAACGTTGTATCAACGTTCCGAACGTTTATTCAATGTTAATTCAACGTTGATTCAGCGTTATGTGTTTCAAATTGTTTGCTGGGTCATGAACTACCCCAGATAACATTTTTCGTGGGGCCCACGTTGGCCCAACGTGGTCCTCCAACGTCAGGATACGTTGGCCAAACGTAGGTTGTTCACGTAGGCTCCACGTGAAAATGACCGTTGGGTCAACGTTGGCAGTAAGCTGGATAGCAACGTACAACGTACAACGTGTATAACCCACTTTCCCAAGTAGTTGATTTTTGCTCTATATCATCATTTCGTACCATATACAGTACTTTCCCCTAGATTCCCTATCTAGTGGAGGTATTCCCATTTGTATTACGGAACCTATACTATGTATTACAACCTACCAAGGAAATGTATATATACCCTAATAGGCAGAATACATAGGACAGTACAGACGTGGATCTTCCCCTGACTGTACTGATTATAGTACGGGTCTGAAGATGGACCACCTCGTACAGTTTCCATGAAGTATCTGCAATACCAGTCCATCATTTCCTCCTTCTGCAATGGAAATGAGGAAATGGCAGAATGGGTTTACGGATGCTCTCCCTATATTTCAGGTCTTCTTTCGGATTAAATCCTGCTGTTTTTCAAAAGGATTCTCATCGGGAATATAAGTTTGTTTATGGCCTGAGCTCCATTAATCTGTCTTGAATAAGTGGGTAACAAATGATGAAATGTCCGCGCTTATTGATTCCTATAAGCGAGACTAGGCGAGACATATGGCGAGGTATTAAACAATCCTGCGAAGGGCGATTCCAGGGAAAGAGGGAAGGGATCTTTTGCGTGCTGTGTGAAAAGCAAGACACCATACCTACATCTAGTGGCCTGGCGAAGAACTTCAAAGTTTTGAAGTTCTCAACCAGGGGTGCTGCAGTTCTTTTCAACGTGTGGATATGCCCACGTTGGGCCCACATCGTTCCCCAACATTCACGTTCCGCCAACGTTTCCCACCTTTATCCAATGTGGGCCCAACGTAACGTGTTATCTGGGACGCGGGTGTTTCTTTTTTACGGGAAGACTGGAGTTTTTTTCGTTGATCCACAGCGTGAAGTTGAATCGAGAAAACTACCTGCAGTTCCTGGAGAATGTAAACTCCTGTAAACAGCATCTCTTAAAGTTTTATTACCAATGTCCACCTTTATGTGAGCGCCTCTTGCTCTCGATTTCTTGCCATATTCGACTTAGTATTTCGATGTCTATGGTCTCAATAGCAGGTGCAATTCTGTCCTTTAGTTCTGAGTAATTATCAGATTTTATAGTGGATTCAGCGAAGAAAAAGAGGCCAATGATCCTGTTGTGCATTATGCCACACCACGCATTTACCTTCGGGCAGTCACGCTCATGCTCATAGACCATGTGATGGTTTTCGGTACCCCAATTCCTCAGATTGTGCCTGTTCACTTTGCCTGACAGGTGAAATGTTGCTTCTTCTGAGAAAAGAACACGTTGTAGATACCCTTCGCCATCATCCAGATAGCCCAACAGTTGTGTTGATCAACCATGTAACACATTGTGCTTTTTCCTGAGAGGTACTTATTTTTTTTTAACTGTTCGTACACGTTCATTAAAAAAAAAACCGGAAACAACAGGAAATGAACATCTATGAAACTTTGGGAGGTGCTGCTTACAATAAAAGAAACCGTATCTTTGAATGTTGTTCTATTCATATTTTATTAAGGTTTAAAATTGGAAAGATGACTTTTGAACACCCTGTATCGATGCGCCCAAGTAGCACGCCGGAATGGAACACTCAATAAATGTTCAGCTAACATTCCTTTTAAGGTCGAACCGTTGAACCATAGAGTAGGGAGTGTAACTAGAGGCGACACTCCGAGAGGTAAGGGAGGGGGGGGAGAGTTCTAAATACGACGGGGACATCTGGTGGGGTGGCTGGTTATCAACACTTCCGTGAGGCGTGCTCCGTAGCAACGGAATCGGGAATCGACTCATTTGGGGGTTCGAGCCATATGGAGTCCCTCAAAATAATACGCGTGACTCATTGAGTTCGCTACTTGGCCATGGAGGAGTTATTGATGTGCGCACGCTAGGTGGAGGATCGACAGTGACATCTATATTGTGACTCTGTCAATGAATGGGATTTGAGTGGAGTGTCGCCTCTAGTTACACTCTCTCCAATCTATGGTTCAACCCCTATACTGCTCTGGAGTTGCGTGCCGGAGTAGCTACAATGCGTTGTAAATTCCATCACACCCATTTCCCTTACCTCCTAAGGATTGAGACACGTCCCGCACTTGGCTCCACTCCATCTGTCGATATGCGTTGTTAGGAGCTAAATCTGTGTCTTACCCATGGAGTCAACTAGGAAGCTGAGCCATCATCCATCCATCCTCCGAGCCTGAGTTTCCAGGAGACTCCTTGGACTGGATTACCTCTTTAGACCAAATTTTTGAAGAATTCAAATCTCATCCCTAGTGTTGTCTATGGGGTAGGATCAGGTACCGTGTGGGAAGTATTGGGGAATAATTGCAGTTGTATCAGGCATTCACTCATAACAGCGGTTACTTTGGCGTCATCTCGCGTCGGTTGTGAGAACCGTTCTTTGGTTGAGCCACCGCCAGATTGTAGGTCCGCTGTCCCGATCAACTGTTGCACGTAGAACATTGTTATAGCATTGCTTCAACGATCTTGTGCCAACATTGCTTTGAGCGCTTCCAAAAAGGACATTTCAACGTTACGCCAACGTTCATCCTGTGTTACGGAGGAACACTCGAATGCTGAAACTCTCAAATAACACATTTCCAACGTTGCACTGGCACTGCCGTGTTGACTGGGGTTCTATATATGGCAGAAACCTTAAACTTGTTACAACAGTAACTATTGGTGTGCGGAGTTCAGAAAAGAAAATTTTCCACTTCCGCAAAACAGACATAGAAAGCTGAAACTTCCCAGCAAACAATTTAAAACAATTAAAAAATTAAGACGTTGAATCAACGTTAACTCAACATTGAATGAACGTTCAGAGCGTTGATACAACATTGGTCCAACGTTACCTTGTTTGCTGGGTTCGTACATATGTAATTATTAGGATGCAGATTCAAGGAATCCAGCAAACAAGGCTACGTTGGATAAACGTTTTACTAATGTTCCTGACATTCATTCAATATTGATTTAACATTGATTCGACATTATGTGTTTCAAATTGTCTGCTGGGAAGATTCATACATTTAGGATACATTTCCTAGGGGAAAAAATTTTGGGGGAGACATTTTACAATAATTTTTTTGGTTCCAGCGAACAGGGAGATATACAAGCTGAAACTCATCGAAGAAGAACTTCTTGGAAAGATGATTTAAAAGAAAATTCTGCTTTTAAGGTCCATTCCATCGTCCCACAAATTCTCGCGGGGGGACTTTTCCGAGAAATATTTACCCTGTGCCGATTCGGGCAACTCTAGAATGCTAAAACATGACACCGAAGCATCTTAGTCTGTTAGGAAGATCATTTTAGGAAACAATAGGTCTTAGTTTGTTTCTTTGTAATGATGTTACGTAACCGGAAGTAACTTGAAAGCACAATGAAAATGCCAATAACCCAAGGGATTGGTCACACAATCACATTGGTCGAACACGGAAGCTTTCAAATGAATTCATCAAATTTTCCGATCGTCGAGCGTCAAAGGCGAGAACATAGCGAGATGTTTGCCCGAAGGGCAAACAAACTCAATATAATTAAATACCTGTACAATTTCATTATTATCTTTCACCAGATTTCTCTCTTCCCCAGCTTTGACAACCCCAGAGTTTTTCCTCTGAAGCTTCCTTAAAACAAAGTGTATCACACAAAACAAACGAATGCTGATAACATAAGGAACAAAATTAGGAAAAGTATCACTTCCATTGACAGAGATATCCCTTTCCAGGCAGCAATGAGCAATTTTTCGGTTCGATGCAGAGAGTGCATCGAAAAGAATGGAGGACATTTGAAAAAAAAAATTAAAGAACAAAAGGCACTGCTGAGTAAATTCTGAGTTCTGGATCATAATTTCCAAAGTTTTATCAAATTATTTTCAAATTTCAGGTGGAATGCATTAACTATTCTTAAGTAGTTAAAATACAACAAATTAATCAGAAATACGTGGGATACCCTGTATGTACGAAATCACGAATTCACAGACTCCTCCTATGATGTCCAACAACTTTGATTTTTTCAAAACCCGCATCACGTTTATTTTCGCTATGTCATCCAAATTATGGGAAAATACTATAATTATTAATGGCAATCATTGTTATAGTATAGGTCTTTACTGATGAAAATCGGGAAAAACAGAAAAGGTACCCTCTTTCGTATGGTACAATCATACCTTAGCTGGAATTGGTCCTCTCTATTAGAATTCGGAATCCGAAGGGAAGCTTCATGAATTCACTTGTGGATGAAATCAGCTAGCAACAGACATGACATTGATATTTGTCTTTTTATTGAGTCAAATCAAGCTTCTCTCTCTGGAGAAACGTGACTTTACTTCTAGGACTCACGTGAAGAAAGACTGATTCTGCATGACTGATACTCGTGCCGAAGTTATGGGACTCACGTCACGTTATATTTATTCATACATACATGGCTGGAGGGGAACCACCTCATGTTCTTTTTCATAGATCCGGGATCACCTTGAATATTATCTTATGGTATGAAAAGCCGAGCTTACAGAATGATAGTGGGAATCCCATTGGGAGAGGGATTCCCCCTGATCCCCCTGCTTCGTCATGCCTCATAATGCATATTCCTGACAATACACGTTTGTATCCATTTCCGGCTAATGACTGACTCTCCTGAGAGGACAATGACGACGTTGCCATAGAGTCCCTCGAAGTAGGAGGAGGATATGACTATGACAAAAAGGAAGATTCTTGATAGGATTCTCTCCAGTCTGTCTTCGTCCTTCACTCATCGTGATACTTCATGACAGCAGACTTCACATTCAAGTGAGACCAACATAACATTTTCAACTATCCTTTCTTCCTGCCCCGTCTTGAATAATTCGCATTTTCTTGGAGTAGGTTTCATAGGTATGCATGTCTATATCTTAATCAGGACTCAGAACAGTGACTTAATTTTACGTCTGCATTAGAGTAATCGATACATGAGGTATTCGACGGCGTCTCGTTCGGGTTCAGAGAGATCTTAGGGAACTTGAAGCGATTCCCTGTGTTTCTTCCGGAGTTTTCTCTTTTTGAACATCGAGTATCGATACAGTTGAGGGTTAGTACGGTCAACAGAAAAAGCTGCGGTAGAAAATAAAAGCAAGATCGGAGAAGCGTCAGACCACCTCAACCTGCAACAGCGCAGGACCGAAAAAAAAGGGGGGCGACCGAATGACGGAATTCCGTGACACGGATTTTGATAGGAGCATATTTCCTAGGACTGAAAAAAAAGCACAGTCCGCCGCTTAAATTGCATCTCCAAAGTAGTAGGTAGTTCAGCAATATTTATAAAATTAGGAACAAGAACAGATCATACACTTTGCGCACATA